GCCCCGCCGCGCTGCGCCGCCGCCTGCGTCTCCTCCTCCCGGCGCCCGCGCTGTTGCTCCTGCTGCACGCGGCTGCCGTGCGCGGTGAGTGGGCCAGATCGTCCCCGCGGAGACGCGGAAGGGGCGGAGGGCCGGGACCGAGGACAGCGGTCAGCGCCGGCCCGGGGCGGTCCTCTGCCTTGCGGACTCGGCTTCCTGCGGGCCCGACCCTAGGATTGCCGGCCAGGGGATCCCCGCCGTACGGACGCCTGCTGCGCGGCTCTGGGGTCCGGTGCGGAGAGTTGAAAAGTCCGGGCTGAGTTTCCAGAGGAGCCAACCCTGGGGAGACCGCAGAGAGTCAGTTCTCAACCCGGCCCCCAGACAGACTCCGCTTTGGGAGGGTGGGGGCCGAAGAGCTGGGCAGCGCCCCACGCCCACCCCGCGCGAGGGCCGGTGGCGCGCCTTGCGCCTAGCAACGGTGTCCCCCTAAACTCCCAGCGAATTCTACAGCGCTTTTCAGGTGTGGGGGTGCATTTGCTCTCCTCTTATTTAATCTTGACTCAGTGCAGAAGCCAGGAGGCTAGCAGGTCTTGGTGTTGCGTGTTCAGTACTGAATGGAATAGAGGTTGCCAGAAAACCATCACAGGTGCTTCCTTGGTTGGAAGTCTTGGGAAAGAATGTTGCTGTCAGTGGAGAAGCAACGGTTCCGTCCTTTTCCTCCCTAGGTGACTGTGGCCTTCCCCCAGTGATTCCTCATGCCCAGGCAGAGTTGGGAGGAAATACAAACTTTCCTGAGAATTCCTCGGTGTTGTACAAATGTGAGAAAGACTTTTACAAAATCCCAGGCATGGCAGACGCCGTGATCTGCCTTCCCAACAATAAGTGGACAGACATAAAAGAATTCTGTAATCGTAAGTGTTGCCTTTTTTTTTTTTTTTTAAGAAAAGTTGTGGGACTGGGATGGGTCTTGTGAAAGTTATTTTATACCCCTTTGGAGTGACTGGTAATTGATAGTTTGCTAGGTTATTAAGCCCCAGGGTATATACCATGCTGGTAATACAGCTGCCAGCTAATTGAAGGCACGCTTCCCAGGGCAGGTCTTGTATCTTCATTAGTTTTTCTTCCTAATGCTGTACCTGCTGAACAGACTAACAGAGAAAACAAATAGTGAGTGCTGTTTAGGGAGTACATGATAACAGAAATATGTTTGCCACTTGCCTTGAGACACATACCTATGTAATGTTTCCTTAAGTTTCATTTGGTAAAGTAGAACTTAGTAAATGCAGTGCTTTGGTGATGTTTTTAAAAGCTCTCAATATTCGAAATCTATTCTGTAGAAAGTGCTATGTTGAGTTGAGATACGCTTATACATTAATGGTGAAGGTATGTTCTGGGAAGTGCATTTTTAGGCAGTTTTGAAGTTATCTGAACCCAAAGTGAACTGACCCTGGGATGGTCCAGCGTCCTGCACATCTGAGCTGTGGAGTGAGCCTACTGCTCTTGGGCTACAGACCTGTACAGCAGCGACCGCGCTGAACATTGTGAGCAGTTGTAACCCATGGTGTTTGTGTAGCTAAGCATAGAAAATGTACAGGAAAAAAATATGGTATGAAAGACAAAAAGTAATACACACACACACACACACACACATCTGGGGAAGGCTGTTACCCTGAATGGAGGACAAACACTGGGGATCCCTCCTGTCTCTCAGGAGCTGTTCCTATTCCTCATCCCTTTCCCTCCAATAAATTTTTCTACTTTTAAAAAATAAATAAATAAAAATTTTAAAAAACATGAATGGAAGTTGCAGGACAGAAGTTGCTCTGGGTATTAGTGAGTGGGAAGCAGGTGCATGTGAAGGCCCAGGACATTGCTGTGCACTGTTGTAGACCTTTTATTTTTTATTTTATTTTTTCCTTTGAATAAATAAGTCTAGTTTCTTACCTGTGTGCTCTTTTTTCTTTCTTTTTTAAAATTTTATTGAGAAACAGCAATGACAGTTTCAAAACCGACTAATAGGACAGATTCAATAATTCATACATTGCATATTGTTACCTTCTTTGTGGTTATTCATAGTACAAGATGCAGACATGCTATCCTGTCCAATTACTATTAGTAGAAATCTTTCTTCTCATTGAATTCAGAGAAAGTAGCTGTATATCTATCCTATTTTGTTTTGTATATACAGATACAAAATGGACCTTCATTGGTATCACCTTTTTTTGTTTAGTTTTGTCAGAGATGGGTATTCCATTGCCATTTAAATATTATAGGTGCGTGAATTCAGCAAAATAATCCATATAGTCCAGTAGTCCATACTAGTAGTGGGTTATCCGTAGAACTGGCAATGTTAGAAGTTGTTGACTTGAGCCCTTTATAGCTCAGCATATTAATATGGCATTGTAGACCTTTTAAACATTGCACACTGAGACACTAAATTATTAAAATGTTTTTTCTTCATTAGTAACTTACTGTAACTTGACTTTATAAGTTTTAATTTTTTAAACTTATTTTCTTTTGCTTTCTGGAGGGTTGTTTGTTTGAAGCCAGACCTCAGAAAATTGCCCAGGCTGGCCTTAAATTCCTGAATTTAAGCATCCGTCCCACATCAGTTCCCAGGTAGCTGGGACTATAGGCCATCCTGCCCAATTTAATTTGTCCTTTAAAAAAAAAAATCTTGTACTAACACTTAGTGTTAATTAAATAACTGTACAAAAATTTTTTTTCTTTACATCCTAACATTGTGTGCTTTTTTCTGTTTAAAATTTTTTTTTTTAGGCATTTTACTTATAAATGGAGACACAAATAATCACATAAATAATCACATTAGTCTGGGCTCTAGGTCCTTGTAGACTCAGGCTTTGCAGTCTGTTTTTCAGTGCTGCGCCTTGCCCTACTGGCCACGCCCACCCAAGCAGCTCTCATCTGCCACGACGACAATGCCTCCTTCTGGAGCTCCTCCTGAAGGGGCTGCCTGGGGTTGTGGCACTGTTAGACAATTTTTTAATAAGTGAAAGGAGTACACTCTAGAATAATGAGAAGTATGGAACAGAAAATAAGCCAGTAACACAGGTGCATATCATCATTAGCAAGCAGTATGAACTACCCCCAGTTGTACACGCTGTGCTTTCTTACACCAGCCGCACAGTGTATTTGCACCAGCAGCCCCCAAACACGTGAATGTGTTGCACTGTGATGTCACGATGGCTTATGGCATCACCAGGCAGTATGAATTCCTCAGCTCAGTCACAGCCTGCTAGAACCACCAGTGTGTATGTGTCTGTCGCTGCTGGAAACGTCATCACGTGCCACAGGACACTGTATACGGAAAGAGAAAAATGAGACTTGCCGCCTGCGTTTGGACAGATTGAAGCTATGCGGTGGAATCTGCTGCAGATACAGAACAGAAGGATGCTACGAATAACTTTCACTTTTGTTTTTGCTGCTGTTAACGTTTTTAGGTAGCTGTGAAGTTCCACCCAGGTTGACTTATGCAGCCCTCAAAAAGATCTACATCAGTATGAATTATTTTCCAGTTGGTACCGTCATTGAGTACGAGTGCCGGCCAGGGTACAGGAAAAAACCCGGTCTCCCAACAAAAGTAACTTGTCTTGATAATGTAACATGGTCCACGCCCGAGACATTTTGCGACAGTGAGTATAATTTTAAAAAGTATCTGGTATTTGGGGGAGAAATGGTCTGTTCCTTTGTTTGTGATGGAACTCTACATGTACCTTTTATTATGTCTGTGTGATGAATTTTTTTTTTTTTTTTCTGTTGCTAGGGTTGTCAAACTCAAGGCTTTGTGTATGGTAGGCAAGTACTGTACTACTGAACTACATCACCAGCCCCTAAAAGAACAGGAAAAAAAATTATTTTAAATTAGAGGCACCAAAAGTTTATGTGCTAAGAAGACTCATTCACAGATTTCACATTTATTTACTTTGCGGTTATCTAAGATTGCCTATTCTAAGTATGTGCTTTTTTTGAAGCATCACAAAATGAAGACAGCTAAATCCATAGATTAGAAATATCAGTAGGTTGGGGAGTGAATATGCATTGATGTAGCTGGCAATTTTTGACAAATGTTTCCTAGGCTTATTGAGGTGTAATTAAGGAAAATTGTATTGGGCTGGAGATAATAGCTTAGGAGCCGACCACCTGCCAAATGCACACAGAGGTGTGAGTTTAATCCTGAGCACCACACAGACGCGCACACACGTGTATGCACACAAAAGTTGAAATGTGCATACGTACAAGGTTTACATACATGATGCCTTTTTTTAATTTTAAAGAGGAAAAAATGCAGAATTTCAAAACAAGATAATGAACAGTGGTTAATGTCTTGCATGTTATCTTCAAAGTAGTTGCTCAGATTGCAAGATAGAGGTGGCAGAATTGACCAATAGAAGCACAAACTGGTTTTTTCAGTGAGCTAAAAGAAGTCAGTGTAACTAGTGTCTCTATCTTTTGTATATATTCTTTTTCTTTTCCCTTCTTTTCTCCTTCCACCTGTTTTACTTGTTCTTTCTTTTCGAGCAGTTTCTTTGCCTTTCACACTATCTATTGTAGATTTGGTGTCTTACTGTTTCAGCTTCTCACTACCGAGACAATATGATGTTTACACATGTGGGTCTGATTTGTTTCACTTACGAGTATGATTTCTGGTTGCATCCATTTACCTATAAAAACTTCTAGTTTATCCTTCTTTGTAGCTTAGTACTCCATTATACAAGAATACCACATCATTTTTTTAATCCATTCCTCAGTTAATAGACATTTGGGTTTTTTCCAAGATTTAGCTATTACATATTGTGCTGCTATGAACATGGTTGTACAAAGGTCACTGTGGTGTAATGTTTTTAATTCTTCCTGGAAAATACCCAGAAGGGGACTAGCTGGGTTGAATGGAACCTTTAATCCTAGTTTTGTTTTTTTTTTTTTCAGAACCAGGGATTGAACTCAGGTCCTTGCGCTTGCCAGGGAAGCGCTTATTCCACTGAGCCATCTCCCCGGCCCCCTTTAATCCTAGTTTTTTTGAGGAATTTGCACACTGATTTTCACAGTGGTTGTACCAGTGTACACTTCCACCAGCAGTGAAGGGTTCCTTTTCCCTCACAGCCCCTCCAGTATTTGTTATTGGCTGATTTTGTAATGATAGCCATTCTTTTAGAGTGAGACGGAATGTAAATGTTGCTTTCATTTGCATCTCTCAAATGACCAATGATATTGAACCTTTTTTCATATATTTATTTGCCATTTGTTTTTCTTCATCTGAGAAGTATGTGTTCATCTCAGATGCCCATTTTTTGATTGGGTCTTTAAATTTCAGGGGCCTGATTTTTTTTTTTTTTTCTTCCAGTGCTTTATATGGTCTAGATCAAAGTCCTTTGTCTGAGGGACAGTTGGCTAATTTTTTCCCCCAATCTGTGGGTTTTCTTTTTTCTTTCTGGCTGATTTCTTTTGATGTGCAGAAACTTTTCAATGAGATCCCAGTTATTGATTCTTTGAAGTACTTCCTGTGCAGTTTGCTTTTTGTTCATGAACTCTGCCTACCAGTAAGTCTTCAAGATTTCTACCTACATTTACACGATGCTTTAAGATACATTTACATCGTGAAGTCCCACAGTTAGTCTAGTTAACATATCCACTACTTCACGGTTACACTTTCCTTATACATGTTTAATTTAATGAGATATACTTTATATTCTTTTTTAGAGAGATCATGCCTTCATCCTGGAGAAATACTAAATGGTCGTGTTGATATAAAAACTGACCTATTATTTGGTTCTCAGATCTTCTTCACATGTGAAACAGGGTAAGTGGGTTTTATTATACTGACACTGTATTTCATAAATGAAAAAGCAAGTTAAGATTCGAGATAGAAACTGTTTAAAAGCAGGCTTTCAGCAACCAAAACAACTCCTCAGGATCCTGCATTATGCTCTCTTTATAGTAAAGCTAAAAGTCAAACAGGTCAAGAAAGGAAGCTTTTATAATACCAGCTTCTCCAACTTCTTAGATTTCAGTTTTTATATGACTCGGTACAAAATTTTAAATGTGATTAGTAAAGCTGAACCTTTGATTTGCTGAGGCTGCTTTCAGAAATAATTGACGTAGTGAATTTGCACCTGAATTTTCCCACATGTGAACAAACTATTATTAGATATTATGGCATAAATACATTTCTCCTTAGTGTGGAAATACCATTCTATCTGAGGTTCTATACAGTTCTCTAGTAGGAAAACAAATTCACCCATTCCATACATCTCAAATACATTTGAAAAAACTTTTGTTTTGGTGGTACTGGGGATTGAACCAACACCTTTGAACTGAGCTATTTCTTTACCCCTTTTAAAGTTTTATAATACTTTTTTTTTTAAATGTATTTAGTACGGGGTCTACAGGGTCTCACTACACAGATCGGACTCATAGTGATCCTCCTGTTTTCAGCCTCCCAAGCGCTGGGATTACAGGTGCATGCCACCATGCCCAGTCTCAATCATCATCTCAGTGTGCCCCGGGGAGGCAGGGCCTGGGCCTGCACAACACCAGGGATTGAACCTTGTCCCCTATGCTCTGCCTAAGCAGGCGCTTTAGTCCACAGAGCTATTTGACCAGCCCTTCCAACGCTTTTTGAGACAGTTCTCATGAAGTTGCTGAGGCTATCAAAGTTAGGATCAGCCTGCTTTGGTCTCTCAGAGTGCTTGTATATCAGGCCTGTGCCATTATGCCTGGTTTGCAGTTGGAAACAGTATTCATGTTCTCATTTAATAATTGCAAATCAAAGTGTATTTTCTCTGTTTCTTGCACCTTCCACAGATGGTTGGGCCCTTACTATCTAGGAAGCACTTTGGACACTTCATATATATTCTATTATTCTACATTGATCTTTTAGAACTAATATAAAATAGCGAATATCATTATCATTTAAAATGTTCTCTACGCTTTTCTTTTCTAACATACTCCTCCATGTACATAAAAAAAACTGTTCTACATATCTTACACTTTTTTACCTGTTGGATTTCACCTTTATAAACTTTTTTCTGTTCTTTTAAATCTTATACTGGGGAGATAGCTCAGCAGCATAAGCACCTACCTGGCTAGTGCAAGGTCCCAAGAGTTCAATCCACAGTACTGCCAAAAATAATCATCATAATAATAAATAAATCTTACATGGCTTTGAACAACTATTTTTGTCTTCCTTTACTTATATGGTAAATATGTTAAGATGATCTGGGGAATTTAAGGTGAGTCAAGTACATATGAAGGTAACAGCAACATTTCTCCCCTTATTGTTCCAGGTATAGATTAGTCGGAGCAGCTTCTGCTTTCTGCCTGCTTTCGGGCAGTGGTGTCGATTGGAATGAACAATTGCCAATATGTACAAGTAAGTCTTTTAAAAATCTAAACACACAGATTATGAAGCTGAATGATCAATGATAGGTGACCTTCTCATTAAGGGTTAGCCAGTGTGTATATGTACTACCCCGCCTTGTAATGTCTGCCTTTGATAATTTAAAGACCTTTTGTTTAAGTGATGTTTCTTCATCTGTTATCTGAGGCATTAAACCTTTGCTTCTCAGAGTACCAGTGTCCTTCACTATTGGAGGAGAATTAAAAACAAGCTTGGGATTGCGTGGTATTCAATCTTACAATATCTAGCCCTTCTTACAGATAGGTAGGGGAGTTAGGGCATTTTTTTTTTCCCCATCACAGTCTTGTGGAAGAAAACATGAATCAGAATTTCTGTGTGACTTAACTCTACATCCTAAAGCATAAGAAGGCATTTAGCCTAGTTCTCTTAATTGAAGCCCATCACTTCTCACGTGTCTCTTTTTAGGATTATAATTATCTGGAAGTATTCTAACCTGTGGTATGTTTTATCTTTAGAGAAGTAAGGTTATAAAATAAAAAAGAAATATGGTTTCTGAGCTTGGGAATCTTCTCAAAGGGAAGATAGGGCATAGAAATGACATCATAAGTGAGTATGTAAAAGTGAGTATGTAATAAGTCCACTGGAGACACACCTCCCACAAATTGAGAGAAGAAAATAACTTGCAACATTCTTATTTTCGTTTTTGAACCCGGGTGCTTGTGCATGTCAGGCAAGTGCTTCAACAATGAGCCATACCCTGGCCTATGACCTATAAAATGTAGGCTTTCTTCCTCCTGTCCCTTTTCTATACACCCTGCGTACACTTCTGCAGATGACTTCTGAAAACCCTATTGTCAAAACTATTACTAAGCTCATTTTTTTGTGTGTTCATTAGGAGCAGGAAACAAGTAGATTTTAGATTTAGTGCAGTTAATCAAGCACTTGCTGACTGACCCTGTGTGGCAGACAGTGTGTAGTTAAGTGATACAAAGACAAGAGAAAGCCTGATGCGGCAAGGGCCCTCCTCCTGTGACATCACTCACATACCCACCCTTCTTCATCTACGAGTTCTGTTTCTCCCCTTAGCCTCATTTTCAAATCGTCATCATTACTGCCCATTACTACTTTTCCCATTTTTGCCAGCGACTGAAGATACTGTAAATGATACTGTAAATATATTTCTAGTCCTGGCGATGTATCCCAAAGCATAGGTAAGCAGATTCCTCATCTGAGGCTCTTCTTTTCACAAGCCACTGCTATCATGAATTCTTTGACCATCAAGCATCTACGCTAGCACAGAGAGCTTTTGTGTTGCAGGCCACCTTCTCTTCATGCTGTCCCTGTCTAAGTCTCCGTATGTTTGTGTTTTCCTTCTTGACTCCTGGGCCTCTCTGACTCAGCAGCCACTGACTTCCCTGTCCTGCAGGAAAGAGCCCCTTTTCTTAAGCAGTCTGCTGTCTTCCTCTGTCCTCAAAAAACCTAGCTTTTAGAGTCTTGGGTTTATTTTTCATATAATATTTTTTGTGTTGACAATACCAAAGAAATTGAGTAGGAAGTCAGTTCTCTAACAATGAGCTGGGTCAGCTCAAGGATGTGGTCCTTTCTGGACCCTTGTTCTGGAGCCACATGACAGAGTTGGTGTCCACATGTGGATGTGGCTGTGGCTGTGTGCTTTGAAGAAGGAGGAGCAATGTCACATACTAGAATTCTCCTTAGTTACAAATCAACAGAGGTGGAACTTTCTCTGAATGTAGCTGCAATGAGAAGCCTCACATTCTCTTGAGTGAAAAGCCTGCTTTCCTCTTTGCTTGCTAATGTTTTTATTAATTTTAGTTGACTTAACTGGTAAGTGCAGGCCTGAAGTCAGTTCCTTCTATACAGTGACTGTCTGCTCAAACCCCTCCAGCTCCCCAAATTAGTCACCAAGTCACCTTGCTTACCTCTTCTACTTTTCACATCTGCCCCATCTGTCTTGTTTCTAACAGTTTATTAACCCTCTCCGTTGGACTATTACAGACATGACCATTCCTACCACTTTTAGGGCCCAACCTAGAATATAAATAGAAGTCCCTGACTTAAGAGCCTTCCTGCCCCTTCTCATAGTGCAGGGTTTTTTCTTATACACATAAGTGTACAACGTGGCCTATGTACCTGAAACATGTCCACAGTTACCCTTATCTGAACTTCATAGTTGTATGGCTTCCAGGTGTGTATGACAGCAGTAGAGACCACCTCATGGATATAGAACAGGGAAGGGACTCTGAGAGGAGTGTTAGCAAAGGTCCTCCGGGTGCTAATTCCTAGAGAATATTCTAGAATGGAGGAAGGGGTATAGGAAAGACTGTCATTGAGCATATCCCCTCAGCCCTACAGATACTCCAGTGGTGGGAGATACTTCCGCAGTCAGGCCAGGACACAGCCTTTAAAGTGTAAGGTCTGAGGAGGGAACCTTGGCTGACTGAGCTGTAGGGTGACACTGATATTAGAGGCCTGCTGGCTCCATTCTCTCCATTGAGGTTCTGTCTGTTGTATCCGAAACACCAGTGTGCTGTTCTTAAGGCTGCTTAGATCCTGTTACTTAAGCACTCTAGACTCCTGAGTATGGTGTGGCTAGTCGTGGTCTCCTTCTTTCCCCACACTTATAGTAGGGCCTCCTATGCTGTGCTGTACCCATACAATCTGCTTATACTTTGCCATATACTTCACACCATTTTGTGCCTCCACATTATTCCTTTTGTTGCTCCTGCCACCTGGAATGTCCTTCAGCCCTTTTTTGCTGGGCTGTATTTTCCTCAGGGAAGGTAGCTTCTAGTCCTTCCAGAAGATTTTGAAGGCTGGCTGAGATCTCTTTTCTCTCTTTCCATGCCACTCACACACCTCTGTGATAACCCACTATTCTGGATTAAAGTCAATCCCTTTGAATCTTTCCCCATAAGATTTTAAACATAAGAACTCTACCTCACTCAGTTATAGATTTCTCCCATCCAAGTACCAACCAGGCCCGACCCTGCTTAGCTTCCGCGATCAGATGAGATTGGGCGCATTCAGGGTGGTATGGCCATAGACTCAGTTATACATTTTTGTTTACATGTACAAGAGTACTTATGTTAGGTGCTCAGCAAGTGAACTGAATTAAGGGTTTTATATATAGTCTCTGTGTACTTTAACTTACTGCCTATAAGAATGTCTTGATCTAGCTTTAAAGTACTTCATAATTTGTTACTGTTCTGTGAGTATCTAAATATCTTCAGTGTAATTTAATGTCACACATACATGTAATTACATTGCTTTCTTACCTTTCAAAATCCCATGGCTTTAAAGAGTGTGAAATCACTGAATGGGAAAGTTACCAGGAAAAGAACTCTGTTTAGAATATAACTAGAGCTGCTCTACTTGTGTTTGTTTAATAAATTCAGCTATACAGTGAGATTTATCTTAAATAAAACCCCAGTGAGTTAATATGTTTAAAAATGTTCCACCCCAAATGGAAATATAGTCCTGATTCCTGAGATTTTTTGCCCTATCCAGAAATGATCCATCCTTACTTGGTAAGCAGGCCCCATGAATTCCCAGCGCCTTTATTTGGCACTGTTTTCCCCTTGGAATGAGAAAGGTACTCTGTTCTCTGGTCTGTCTCGGAAGAGTACAGCTGTGGCTTAAATTCCAGTTCCAGTCCCTGCTTAGACACATGGCCTCCTGGCTGGCTTTCTTCTGCAGCATCCTGCCTTGTCTGCTGCTTTCTAGTGACAGTTTGCAACATGCAAACCTTACTGTAATTTCTGTTTATTCACCTGTTTTACATCTTACTCTGTAAGCTGGCCTCTAGGTTACCATTCATGTCAAGTAACATGTACATTCAAAGCTCCAAATGTGCCACCCTAACTTCACAGGCATTTGTAAGCATCCCTTGCTGATAAAGCTACAGTGAGGAAAATAGTAGATTTCCAATTTTAAAAAAATCCATAGCTTGTTTTAATCTTATTTACTTGTAAATATGCCTCACCAGTTTATTTACTTAAAGGATATTATAATTCTCTTTAAGAAATTTTGTGTCCAGATCCACCAACAATTACGAATGGATGGATTACAAATGAACGTCACATCTACGAATACAGACAGGTTGTAACATACGAATGTAAGAGAGGATTCATCCTGACTGGAGACAAGCACATTTCTTGCACTGTAAAAGGTGACATAGGGGCATGGAGTGGCTCAGCACCCAAGTGCAGAGGTAATCGGCTTACATAATTATGTTTTGGCTTTCTTCTTACCCATAGGACTATATATGGACTGTAGTGATTCTGTGAATTCTCTGAGAAAAGAATGGAAAGTATGTCATTTGGTTATATTTGCATCTTTCTGTGGGCAGCAGTTTTTCATCAGATTCTTCTCAGAGGCCTCTATACATGCAAAACCAACAAAGTATGGTGACAGTTTAGAGACATTTAAACTTGTTGAACTGTTATAATGTGTTAGAAAGGGAAGAGAAGAAAAGGAGGGAAGAAGAGGAATTGGGGAGGGAGAGGACAAGAAAAGAAGACAGGGAAGATGCATAGAAAAAATATTGAGATAAGGACTGAGCATTTTTCAAAAGTGCTGCAGTACATCAGGCAGTAGATTCAAGACGTTCCCAAGGCTCTAAGCAGGAATGAAAACAAAGCTACTTCAAAAGCACATCAAAGCAAGAGAGCATTTGGAAGGTTGAAGCAATGATAAAAATACACAGAGTCAAAACAGTAAAGAAAACAAAGCCTTCATAAGGCCAACAAAACTAATCACTTGACTTTTCAACAGAAAATGTTGTTCGCCAAAACATGGGTGTGAAGAAACCTTTAAAATGCTTGAGAAAGTTACTGATTGCTTAAAATTCTGCAGCCAATGAGCTGTCCTTCTTAAAGAATGTTAAATAAAGAAAATAAATATATAGGCAGACAAAACCTGAGGGAAGATCACTAACAGACTAAAGGCAGTTTTTCATCTGCAATGAAAACACTGTAAACCTATCTTCACAAAGGAAAATGAAATCAATAGAGAACAAATATGCAAGGGCTAGTGAATTCTGACTTTACAGAACAGTAAAAACGCCACATCTTCTGTAGTGTGAATTATATACAGAATAAAAATGTAGGGGCTGGGGAGATGGGCTCAGGGGAATAAGGGCTTCCCTGGCAAGTGCAAGGGCCTGAGTTCAATCCCTCATTCTGCAAAAAAAAAAAAAAGTACAATAGCAATAAAATGAAAGGCAGAAGGTACATTCAGTCTACAAATCACAGTGTATCCGCATGAATGAAGACGTGGTAACAGTGACTATTGGCAGTGCTGTGATGGCAAACCTTGAAGAGACCAAGTGGCCAAACTGGAACCCCAAACCCACTTATTAATTGCCAAGTGCCAGCACTGGGGGCTCCGCTGCTGACTGATGCTCAGGTGATTTGGCTCGTGTGCTGAAGGAGGCCTGGCGTGTAGGCTGCGGCATGCGTGCCATAGGTTGGCCTCCACTCTAATCCCTAAGCTACGGTGATCTCTAAGATTGCCATAAAGAACCTATATACCAAAGGCTAACAAAAGAATGGTAATCTTTAATGCTTATAAAGAGAGCCAAACAGGCAGAGAAACAGAAAGAAACATGGGGGATTGAAAACTAGTAGTGGCTGATACAAAACTAGTAATAGTTGATACAAACTTACATGGAACAGTAATTACATTAAGTGTAATTTAACTAAGACTGTCAGACTAGATTTGAAAAGAAACCCTAATGATGGTTGACAATAAAAAGTTGGATAACATAAAATTATTGAATATACAAAGTAGAAAAATAAACCATCATTTGGCACTGTTTTCCCCTTGGAATGAGAAAGGTACTCTGTTCTCTGGTCTGTCTCAGAAGAGTACAGCTGTGGCTTAAATTCCAGTTCCAATCCCTGCTTAGACACATGGCCTATATGTCTAAAATTGTGCTACTATACTGTCCTCAGTATTTACTTAAGAAGTTCAAAGAAAACAAAGAAATCAGGAAATGTGAAATTCCAATCTGAAATCTGGAAAAAATAGCTTCAGTTGCTACGTGGTGAGAAAGGATAGAAAAGAAAATGAGGGCCGGCCCAGAGAGCTCAGTGGGCTAAAGCGCCTGCTTAGGCAGACGCGTTTGATCCCAGTGTGCCGTGCCGGCCCCATCCCCGGGGCACGCTGAGACTCTGGTTGAGGCTGTGCTGTGACTGCAGTGGTCTAGTGATGGCCTCGTGTTGCTCTTTGGTCTTGACCAGAGTGGAGGAAGATATTTCTGGACAGAAAATAAAGGTGTGTCACAGATTGCAAACAGTACTAACTCCAGCTTTGCTTTCCTTTTTCTCCCACACACAAAAAAGAGGTTAAGAATCTCAATTTTATGTTGGGCTAAATTTACTGTAGGTATAATTAATATCAAAGCAAAAATTAGTAGTACCTAACCTCCTTGAGAAATACATACTAAGTAAGTCTTGGTTTCCTAAAATTCTTGTCTTAAGTCTTTATGGATAGACAGAGAATAGCCACAGAGCAAGCAATGGCTAAGAAAACTTAACGTGCTTCAGCAATACATAGCTCATAGCTCATTTTTCCTCTTAACATTTTTCATCCACAGACAAATCTTCAATTCCCTTGACCTCATCACCAAGGCCCAGTACCACAAATATGCCAGGTATAGAAGTTTCTCTACCACCTCAAAAACACACTACTATAAATGTTCCAGGTACGGAAGTCCCATCAACTTCTCAGAAAAGTACTACAGTAAACGATCCAGGTACAGAAGTCCCAACAACTCAGAAAAGTACAACAGTAAATGTTCCGACAACGACAGTCCAACCAACACCTCAGAAACCCACCACAGTAAATGTTCCAACAACAACAGTCCAACCAACACCTCAGAAACCCACCACAGTAAATATCCCAACAACAACAGACCAACCAACACCTCAGAAACCCACCACAGTAAATATCTCAGCAACAAGAGACCAACCAATACCTCAGAAATCCACAGCAGCAAATATTCCAGCAACAAGAATTCGACCAACACTTCAGAAACATACCACAGTAAATATCCCAACTACAGGAGTCCAACTCATACCTCAGAAACACACTACAGTAAATATTGCAGCTACAGAAGTTCAACCACCTCATCAGAAACCCACCACAGTAAATGTTCCAGATGCAGAAGTCTCACCAATGCCTCAGAAAACCATCACAATAAACATTTCAGATACAGAAGCCCCACTAACTACTCAGAAACCTACCACAGCAAATAGTCCAGCCACAAAGGCCCCAGCCACAGCTCAGACATCCTCTGTAGCACATGTTCTCTCTACAGTAACCACACTAGCAACCCAGAGTCCCACCATGGGTAATGCTTCTGCTACACAGACCACACCAGCAACCCAGACATCCACCACAGCCAAAGCTTTGTTCACACAGACTCTTCCAGCAAGACAAAAATCCACTCCTAAACGTGTCTCAGTTACACAAAGGTTCACCTCTGCTCGTATTACAGCGTCTAAGCATGGACCTGATTCCGGGACATCCACAAGTTCTCCTACAACAGAACCTGAAGAGAAAGGATTGACCTCAGGTCCGTTGGCACTGTGCAGGTTTCCTGGGTGTGGATCTAGTGGGCTAGGACAGTATGACCCTGACTCTTAACACTGCAAGGCTGAATAATGCTTTTGACTCAAGAGCAGTCATTATGAAATGCAAACAGTAAGCTGATATGGTAACTGTGAATTTGGTTATAATTTACTGAAGGGGATTGAGGTTGTTGGTAATTTCTTGGTTGGATTGGGTCAGCAACTATTTACTACTTAAATTGTTCAAGCTTATTTCTTGGCTCCAAGTTACAAGTCAGAGTTACATCTTTTTGTTTTCAGTTCCAATCAGTTACATTTATGTTACTGACATTTTCTTTGGGTAGACACTGTAGGCACTGTGTATGTTTAGTAATGTGTAATTGTGTAAATTCTTTAATGTCTTTTCATTATAGAAATTTGAGTTACATTTGAGCTCACTCTTGATATATTGGTACATCAATATATATAAATATAGATTTATATGTATAGTGATTAGTAAATCATTGAAAATTCTTAATTTTTTAAACTTTTTTTCTTTTAGGTTACAAAGCTGTCTTATATGGTAAGTTTGGCTCCTGGGCAGTTGAAAGAAATTGTCAGCACTGTGAGACATACAATCCATATTTTTGGAAGAGAATATTATCTTTTAACTGTCTCAGGAGAACTATCAGAATGCGGTGTTCATGGGTTCCTAAGCGAAAACGGGTGAATGCGTTCTCTCGGCATGTCTTGTGGACGCCGCTAGGTGCGCGCTATGTTTCTGCAGTGTCCCGGCCATGTTCTTGCTCCAAGGTAACTCTAGGACGACTACACATCTTCTGGCCGGTCAGGCAAGTAGTGTTGAATGCCCGTTGTCTCAGCTCGTCATTTAGGGATTGAAGAACCGTGAGTGTGCAGCGGTGTTTTGAAATCTTCAAGTGTTTTTTTATAACCATAAACTTCATGACAATGTCTGCAGCTCTGTCCTATCCCACCTGAGAGTGCAACCTTTGACAGCATCCTCCCTTTTCCTGCTTCTCTGTTATTTGAAGCAAAGTCTTTAAAAAATAGTATTCTGTTGCTGTAGACCTGAGGCCCAGATCACTACCTGTTTTGCAGTTTGTTCTGGTAGTTAATTTGGTCCTTTGTTTTGTCCATAAATGTTGTTTTATGTTATACATTAACAAAGTTAATGAACTCCTAAAGAAGATGGTAAGATAAATGTTTTTAAGTAGAAATACAGCTAAATTGGCATGCTGATAAATAGAAAGTACAATTTTATAATGAAATGTTTATTTTAAAATTACATATTATCAGTGAAGTCCCCATTTTATGCATGCATGAACCAGCCAAAGGACGGTAAATTTGAAAATAGATACTTTGTTATTATTACTACTACTCTTGTTACTTATGAATGGTTATGCTATATTTTAAAAGCTAAGAGATTTTTAAAGCTAAAAACTATCTTGAACAATTCCAGCAATTGGAATTCACTGTTTATACTATATTTTAAATAGAAATAAATGTATTCTAAATGAAAAAAATCTCATGATTTAATGATTTAATGTTCGCAGAAATGACGAGCTTAATAGATGAGCTTTCTCAGTTGCCCAGTGGTGTTCAGTGAAGGTTTAAGGTGCTTATTGTTCTCTGAAATGTTTGAAGGGTGTGCTGGTGGCCTGTTTCTTAGGAAGCTCTCCCCTTGGGGTTGGAAGGAACCTCAGCTTATGCTCATACAGAGGAGCTCCTTTCTTCCTAAATCGGATATATGGCAACAGTTTTTAGATAGGTCTTACGTAAATCTGAAGACTATCTTTACTGCTTAAATATATTATTGGGATCAGGTGATTCTCTCACTTTAAAGATAAGTAAATTGCCAGGAAATCACTGTGTTGATTATATATAGTGCAGTGTGAGTGATGGAGATCCTGGAATGGGCAAATGCTCGAATTTCCCCCCTTTCGTTACACTAAGAGCAACTGGCAGATGCCATAGAGTTTCCCAAGTTGCTTTGTAAGCGACAGTGGTGCTTTGCATTTTAAAGGTAATCTTCCACTGACTTTTTTTTTTTTTTTTTTTTTTTTGCGGAATTGGGGATTGAACTGAGGCCCTTACCCTTGCAAGGGAAGCACTTATTCCACTAAGCCATCTCCCTGGCCCCTTCCACTAACTTGGTACTGATGTTTCTGTTTTTAAAAAATTCTTCTGTTTTGCTGAGGACCTACCTGGACATTTTCCCTGATCATCTCCCCATGAAGTTGTAATTCCACCTATATGCTACATATTGATTCCCTTCTCTATCTCTGTGTCTGTCTTGATCTGATCTAAATATGTATCTGTGTATTTCCTTGGAATATTACTCCCATGGAGAATACATGTCCTGTAAAGTTTTAGCTTTATTGTTTTTAAAGATTATATCACATATATAAGAAGAAAGTATGTGCTTTGCAGTCAGACCTTGGTTTGAATCTGTTTTTATTTGGCAAGTATTCAACCTAAGGTCAGAGTAATTTCTCAGAGTCCCAGTTTTCTCATTTATGAGGTGGAGATCACGATTTCGGGATTGTTTTGTTTCCTGTCCTGTTTCACTTTTGAGCCAGGATCTCGTGATGTAGTTTGGCCTCAAACTCACTGTGTAGCCGAGACTGGCATCAAACACACAGTGATATTCCCTCATCAGCTTCCCAAGCGCGGAGATTACAGCGTGCACCACCATGCCCAGCAATTATTTTTACACAGTCTTTGGCACTTACTGTACCAAAGGGTACGAGAACTCACTGCTGGTGCCAGGAGTTGAATTCATGAGTTTTCCAGAGTCAAAGCATGCAGTAACTATTACTTCCCTAAGCTAGATTTCTGGCCTTTTTATCATTCCCTCCAACCACACCAAAGGAAGGGCTTTTCATTCAATTAATGTTTATATGCTTGTCAAGGAGTAAATACTATTCTGAGATTTTTATATATTTTGTTTCATTGCTTCTCAAAACAGTCCTATACTAGCATTTATTTTCTATTTTCCATAGAAGGAAACTGTGGTTTTGGATGATGTGTAATTTGCCCACGGTTATGGAGCCTAGTAGGCAGTAAACAGGCAGTGACTAGTTGCTCTAGTACTAGGTACTTCAGAAGACAGATTTTCATCCTAGTAACGGGTCAAGTATGTAACTGAACAGTTGAGGGGGCCTGTTGCTCTCAGCTGCTGCTGCCTTATTTTCTCATGCATTTTAGACATTCTGTATGGTAACAGCGTAAGTTTTTATGGGTCAGTTGAAAGATTTGGCAGAAAAAAAGTACAGAGTGAAATACATAAAATATTCTATTTCCTGTATCACCTGCATACTTATTAATCATTTATTTATCTACTTGAATATGGCATATATTACAGTGCGCCGAGACATAACTGCACTTGCAGGAGCCATCTATGTGAGTGTGGTTTGGAAATGGGCAGCATGCTAGCATTGTGGCTGTCTCTGCCCATGTCCCCACGCGTGCTGCATGTAGACTAAGCACCTTGTTTGGCAAGCGCAGGGACTCGGATTCAATCCCTGGTCTGCATGCTGCACCAGCCCCGCCCCTGGGGCATACTGAGCTGAGTCCCACTTCAGGTGTGGTGGCACATGTCTGTAATCCCTGTGCTGGGGAGGCTGAAAACAGGTAGATCACTGTGAGTCCAGGCTGCATAGTGAGACCCTGTACCAAATACATTAATGGAAAAAAAAAAGTTGAAATACAGAGACAGAATTCAGTGACATGACACCACTTCAGGCATTCTGGGATGTGGCTTTGGGGAAGTAACATCGTGCCTGCCTTACAAATTTGAAAACTTAAGGTTTACTGGAGCACACTGATCTTCTGTCTGCACGTCTCTTTCTGGCCTGCCCTTGTCTGTCCACAGGTTCTTTATCCTGTTGCTATATCAGGTATGATTAGGAACAAGAACCAGACCTATCCTCCCTCTGTCTTCTTAGGTTTTTCCCTAACACATGGAATATCTTTGATTTTTGTCATCTTGATAATCTGGACCACTTCTAAATTCTGTTTTCATTTAAATTCCACATGTGATATTAAAATGTAGAATTACATTTTAAGGAGAAAAACTCAAAATTGGAGATGGGGGGAGTTGCAATTTATTCGCAGTCTTTCTGAGCTACAGTCCGGTGAATCCAATTAAGGACATTGACTAAGGAGAATAGTGTAAAGTATACCTGTTGTGGAAATAGCTCATTTTTTTGGGAAAAAAAAAAAAAAGTGCAGTATTTGTATTTTGCTGATTTGGAACCAGATACGCTCACTCAGCACATTGGCTTCGGGTGCATGTTTAGTGTTGCCAGTAATTTCCTTTGAAGTCGGGCCCATAGGGTAGAGTGCAGAGATATTGGGGGAAGGGAGGGGAGAACTGGAGAATCGAGGTGAGTACAACGGCTGGTTTAGGGAAGAAAGATTATAGAAAGCAAAGTTCATAAGGGTGGTTTTCAGCTGACAATTAGTTGCTGCTGTTAAGCTCAGAAGAACACCTTCTAATCTCAGAGGTAGATACAGGTTTCCTACCTGAAATTTCCTCCGTGGTGTGCTGCATGCGAGGAGCATGCTGGGTAGGCAAAGTGATGTAACTTGTGCTAGGTCTTAGCGGCCTCAGTGTCTTTCCTGGGAGAGCCCTGGGCTGTCTCCACTGTGAACTAAGCAGATGCTCCCATGAGCTGCGTGTGGTACCTGTCACCTTTCTGAGACTTCACTCACCTGCAGCCTGTCCTAAAGTTTCATACTGCAGTCATCATACTTGACATCTAAAATGGAGCATGATTGTGTGGGCGTGAATACTTAGGATCCTCTCAAGCCTGTCAGAAAAACCTACGTGAGCCCTGTGATGTTTTCCACGTTTTATTTCTTTTTCTTTCAAAGAAAATATGACCAGTAATATGAACTTGTTAGTGTCAAACTTGTGACGTGAGGAAGCTGTATGCAGAATGTGTTCCTGGCTTATTTTTTCTTTACATGCTGTGTAATTACCGTGTATGGCATTGTAAGACTACAGTGTAAACGTAATTGCTCATGTTCCCATTAACTATGCTAACATTTTGTCTCCCTCAAGGAGTTGTTCCTGGTGTTATAATAATTGGTAGTCTAATACTAGCCAAGTTTTTGTGGGACCGTGGAAAATCAGGGTGAGCAGAAATTCGATTATTTTGAAAACTTTATTCCTAGCTTTTTTCCCAGTGCAACTCGATATTGTGTCAGTAGGTGACTGCTGCAACTTGGCTGTGTTTGCGCACTTGCGTTCTTTCTGTCTGCAGTCCTGGTACTGCTCTGGAAGAACAGACTCTGGCTGTGGCAGCACTCCTCCCTTCTTGCTCCTCCTCCTCTTTCTCTTCTTCTTCCCCCTCCTCCTCCTCCCCTTTCTTCCTCTGTTTCTTCACTATTACTACTTCCTCTTTTTTCTTCTCAGTATAATCAAAGATAATAATGACATCTCCCCCTAAAGTGATTGCAAAACCAAAGTCTCACTTTCTGATCTATTAATCAATTCTTTTTTCTGTACCTATGATAAGGCCCGTGCATTGTACAGAAACAAAGGGATCTAGGAAAAGACAAGCCTCTAACATGGTGACACAGCCTGTGGTCATGCGTTTTTCGGCTTTGCATCCAATACCAGTCTAGGCAGAAATGGTCTGGGGATTAAGAGGGCAGGCTCTGGAGTGTAACTGCTCACCTTGACTTCTGGGTCTGCTGTTCACGAGCTGTGGCTATGAGCAGCTTCACCTCTCTGGGCCTCAGTTTCTTCATTTGTAAGATGGGGACAGTGTGTCTACCTCCTGGGTTTATACGAAGCATCCGATGAGTCATCACCTGTAAAGAGGTGGCAGTGCTGGTTGGCTCACGGTACACAGTCTGCTTCAAATTCAGATCAAAGATAACCAGGAAAGAGGCATCACTTGAGTGTGCGATCTTCACGGAGTCCACTAATGAAGCACAGATACCATGATTGGCTCTGTGTGCTGCTGACAAGTAGGATGGTGCAAACGGGGCTGACTTTGGAGATTTGTTTATTCAGAAATCTAGTTGTGGAATGCACATAGGCTTGAGCTATTCCTAGGCTTGAGCTGCCTGTTCATTTTTTTCATTAATATCTTCATTTTAATGCTGCTACTAAATTGCCTGTTTTAATTCCTTGGCTTATGCAGGTTGTCTTCTTTGTAACCTCTCTAACTTTCTTTTACCTTAAGTTAATATTACTATTTAAGTCTGTTATAAGTGTATAGAGAATCTTCAAATGACTAAATTAAATCTTGATAGAAAGTACCGGACCATTATGACCTGGGGTGGGTATTGGGAAAAGTGAATCATTTTTCTAGGTATTTTATTTCATAACAAAATATTCTAGATGCTAGATATGCAGTGAGATGCAACTCTTCAAACCACATTTTAAGCAATGTGGTTTGAATCCAGCAGAACCTGAGTTACTAGTCTTACAAAGTAAAGTTGGGATAGATGCCTCATCAAAATTACCCTGAAAAGTCCGGTGTGGTGGTAGACACATGTAATCCCACCACTGGGGAGGCTGAGGCAGGAGGATCCCTGCAACTTCAAGCCCAGCCTGGGCGACAAAGTGGGCTCAGGCCAACCTGAACTGCATAGTGAAACCCTGTCTTTAAAGACAAAAAAAAAAAAAAATTACTGTGAAATGTTTTAAAGTATCTTTTGTACTTTTTGGTCCCAGATTTCTAGGTTTAGTGCTGTTTATTCATTGTATTTTAAAATATGTACAGAGTGCTGTCAGTTCGCCGATGCTAGAGCTTTGGGACCCCTTGGGCCAGGAGAGGCAGCCTGGTGGGTCTGTCAGGCTCTTTGGCTTTTGTTACTCTCCACACATCCTTTGTTGAAGTGCTTTGCCATATTTTTAATAGGATGAAAAACACCAGGACAAAGAAGATGTGAGTATTTTTTTTGAGCTGCATGTTAAAATTTTACAGTAAAGCTAACTAACTGCTTAGTTTCTGAAATAGAGGCAGATTCCTGCCAACCTCTGTGGAAGAATTTGCCTTTTTTCTCATACTCTTAAAGAATAATCCAGGGCCGGGAAGATTGCTCAGTGGAATAAGTGCTTCCCTGGCAAGTGCAAGGGCCTGAGTTCAATCCCCGGTTCCCCCCAAAAAAATAATAATAATAAATAAATAAATAAATAAATAAATAAAATAATAATCCACTTGCCTTATTTTGAAAGTCTAAGCTGTCAAGAGTAAGAGCTGGCTTTATACTTACCTGATAATTCATACTGATTACATAATTAAAATGCAAATTTAATTAAGGCAGAAGTTAAAGCTAATGGATGTAAAATGATAATGGAACCTTAGCCTTTTCTCCTGCTTAGAAGTACTGGGTTTTCTTTTTTAAAGAAATTTTAGTGTAAGAATGGGAGTGTAGGCTTCATTTTTCTATTTGACTGAAATTTAAATTACATGTAATTCAGTGAGGCTTTTTCCCTTTTTGCCGTCCAGCTACTATAAGACACGTGAGAACAACAAAGAGTCCAATGTTCTGTTTCATAATTTAAATGAGGCTGATGCTGCCCCAGAAATAAGACTTCCTTCTGATAAGTTATAAAAGGTATATATGATTTAAGAAAGCCACATTTCTGTGTCTTTGCAAATGTCTCAAGGCAGCTGGCCTAGAGTCTGTGCAGGCTCCTCGTGGATAAATCCTGCGTGCGTCTCCTTGCTTTCCTTTGTTGACTAACACCGAACCTCTCAGCCTCGACACACGTCGGCTCGGGACAACAGGCTCATCATCTCATGTGCTGTTTAAGTGACGATTGGGTGGTGTCACGGTCACCTGTGCTGGGGCCGGTGCATGACCTAATTAGGCCGTGCACCCCCAGGGCCACCAGGATGCTTTTCTGTGTCATTTTACAGAATGAGATGATTGGCCTCTTCATGCATGTTTATTTCCTGCCTGTGTTTTAGACCATTAAATGTTTAAGAAGTAGTACAATATGTGTTAGGATCTCTTCACAGATCATGACTACAGATCCTAAAAGATGTCTTTTTATGTCTGCACATAAAAATAACAATGTGAACAAATCTCTAAAGCTTTCTACACGTCTTGATCTCTCTTAGTAAATCTTTCATGTGTTCCATAATAGTATTCAGAGGATTTTCATTGACCTTTGTATTTCAGTGAATCTATCTGGGCTGCCATTTATCTAAGATTGATAAATGATTTAATTGTTGCTACCGCTACTGCACTATTCCTGCAGAAGTAGTTTTTGACTTACTAGTTTTACATTTGCTTTGCAGCCCAAACTAATGAGCTGCCTAATAATTCATCACATAGCAATGAAAAAATTACTGTTTATCATTGGTAAGTAAAATCATTTGACTTTACCTTTGTTTCTTTTTTGTTTTCAGGGCACACAGGTATCAAATGGACAGTTTTGCTTGTGGTGCTAGTAACCACTGGCCAGCTGATGTAGCCAAAGAAGAGCTAAGAAGCAAAAGCCCAGATCTGTGGAATATTTCTAGTTTGTTACAAGTTCTTGGAGCAGCACAGATACAATAAATCCGGTAGTGCTCTCGGCTTTGCTTGTGGTCCTTAGGCTGTGTTAGCATGTCAACAGAGCAAGGGGGCAGGAGTCCTCTGGAGTCCACTTCTCAGTGCACCTAAAGCCTCTTGAAAATCCAAGGACTCGCAGAGCTTCCGCTTTCCTACAAGTGCCGGGAAGGTAGAACTGTCTGCTTATGCTTACAGTGCGAGCCTGAATTTCTTTGTGAGACATGTAGGGTCATCTTTACTTATGAAAGGAAATAAAAAGCTAAAAACAGTAATTGGATAGCAAAAATGAAACACATATTCTAAACAAAATTGCCAAAAAAGATGTACCACATTCTAAAATAGTGCTTAAAATATAAAGTACTTATATCTGTACTTACTTCATTGAAATGAATTCTAATGTTTTTGGTAAAATATTTTTAAAGGAAAACATGATGGGCCAGGAATGTGTGTTTCTTGGCCTACTGGGTGCAAGGGAGAAATATAGAGTGAAGGGCTAATTCTCCCCTTGTGACAGAAAACAGGTCATGTGCCTGCGCTTAGTTGACTACTGATAACATGGATAAGCTGAAGCTCTGTCCTTAGGACAGTCTGGTGTTGCTTCACTTCATTTCCTCAGGAAAAGAGCCCTATGAAAGGTGGCTTTGATTTAGTGTCTTAAAATCCACCCAGGAGCCTGGTGTAGAGGTGCAGGCCCATAATCCCAGCACTTGGGGGCTTAGGCAGGAGGATTGCCATGAGTTTGAAGCCCACCTGGCCTACATAGTTAAGGCCAGACTGAAAGTACACAGTGAAACCTGCCCCCCCAACACAAAAAATCCAAAGATAGTAAGATTAGCATAAAAGATTCTATATTTCTGATGTTCATAGCCAAATTGTAAATCTTTTTTGTAAGATTAATTTATTTATGTTGGTGAATATTTTGGTTTTACATGTATTAACATTTCAAGAAGGTATGTAAATAAAAATTTATTTTCCCTAAATATAAATAAATAATCACAGCTTCTGGCCTCATGGAGTATTTGAAATTTATCTTCTTCAGTGTGAACATTTTATTTCTAAATAAGAATCACTTCCTGTCTCCCATAAGTAGTTTAGAATGCTGTCACTTGGTTATCCTCATGGAAATCCTTTGCAGATACTTTTAAATTATACTACACTGTACTTTCTCAAGCATATGTTGCCTTCTCCTAATTATCTTGATTTTGTCTGTTCTGGGGATCAAACTCAAGACCTTGTGCCTGCTAAGCAGGCTAAGTTTAAGCGGCTGAAGTATCTCTCAGCCCCGCCTCATTATCTTGATATTACTTGTTATTGAGTTACCTAAAGGTAATCACATTATTTTCTAGGTTTTAAATATTTTCTTATTTGCCATTTTAAATGGCAGACTAGCACTAGAGTATACACGTAGCTAGTAACAGTGGCTGTGTTGTCATGTTGCCTTGTTATTCGTACTTTACATGTGCTTCGTGGCATCTCACTATAAACATGTCAGTGTGCATTTCTAATGTATTTTTTCTCTGTAAGCAGAATCATCACAAGATTAATAATTTCTAGGTGTTTGTAAGATTAGAAAATTCATTTTATTCATGTGTGTTTTCCAGTACTGGGGACTGAGCCAAGAGCATTATACTTGCTAGACAAGCGTCCCCCCGCTGAACTGCATCCCAGCTTTATTTATTTATTTATTTATTTATTTATTTATTTATTTATTTTTGGCGGAACCGGGGCATGAACTCAGGCCCTTGCACTTGCCTGGGAACTTTCTTATTTTTGAAACCATGTCATGTTAAAGCGCTTGGCCTGCCCCTGAACTTGCAGTCTTACCACCTCGGACTCCAAGTACGGAGGTTGTGTGCGCTTTGCACTGTACCTAGCCTTGGCTATCCCCTGAACTGCCTACAAGTTCTGTTTCTGTGCCAGAGCAAGCGGGTCCTTTGTAGAGAAGGGTAACAGTGATCCGGTTCTTCAGACAAGTGCCATGGAGCACACTGAGCAGTTACCTCCTGCCAGGCACTACACGGGGTTAGCAGAGGCCGTACAACACAGTCGGCCTTTGTGTGTGAGAGTTGCACAGAGAACTACAACTGCAGACAGCGAGAATGCAGCCTTAGCTACAGCACGGGCCCGTTCAGAAGCCGGCGCTTACAGGTGAGTGGTGGGCCGGAGGTGTTCCTGGCAGGACGCGGAGGGGGCGCACGTGTGAGGGGCCTGGCAGGATCGAGAAAGGCCGAGCAGCGTGATCGAAGGAGGGCTTGGAGGAGGACCAGCGTGTGTCCTGGGGTCAGTGTAGAAGTAAAAATTATAAACTCCACATATTTTATTCCCGTCGATCATATTGAAAGAATAAATAGGAGTAGGTTTATAATAGCAAGTATTCCAGTCCTTGGGACATCCTTGGATGTTGTGCTTTGAGATACTTCAATTAGGGCAAAAGTTGAAAAGGTATTTGACAGTAGGTCATCTTGGAGAAAGTATACAAGCATTAGGCACACAGGCCAATGGGACGCCCTTACAAGACAGACACCCTGTCTTGGCATGGGGTTCACTTTTTGTCTCAACATAAGCTCTCCTGTGAGACTACTTAGACTGCAAAGGTTGTATCACCTGTATTCTTGAGATTGATACTGTTCTAACAAATAATGCTTGCTTACCTTGGAAATTCGGTAATACTTGACACACTGTCTCTACAGTTTGAGTAGCTTAGAAAATCTCAAATCCAAAATGCTCCAAAAATCCAAAACTTTGAACATCAGTATAATGCCGCAAATGGAAAATTGTACACCAGACCTTGTGATCAAAATACAACCGCACTACTCGATAAAAATACTGGAATAAAATTACCCTTAGGTTCATTTGTATAAGATATATGAAACACATGGATTCAGACTCTGGTCACATCCTCAGGTTATATTGTAATGAACACGCAAACACATCAGACCTCCTTGGGCTGAAGTCAGCCCATCCCTTACTAGCTACACAACTGGAAGAACATCCTTTTTTTTATGCATTTAGTACAGGGTCTGCAGGTCTCACTGTACAGATCAGACTCGTAGTGATCCTTCCGTTTTCAGCCTCCCAAGCGCTGGGATTACAGGCGCCACCACGCCCAGTCTACATCCCTTGTTTTAATAGGCTAGTTTTCTACCTAGAAGGGGATGATAGCAATACCCACTTGATAGCATTGCAACAAGAATTCAGTAAGTTAATAAAGTGCCCAGAATAATGCCAGCCACCTGACACTACCAGTGCCAAG